CATTTATTGACCACAGTTCCTGCTGTGGAAATGCCACACCAGAAAAAATAGCATTTTCTACTGGTTGTCCACCTATCCTCCTCCTCGTGGGCACCATCCCAGCACCAGAGCTCCAGTCTTCAACACCAGGGAGAAGATACAGGGCACCAACAGAACCAGAAGAGGCAGGAGGGTGAGTGCATTAAGAGAGGCACCAGAGGCGACAGAGACAGGGGCACCACGCGAGGCATCTGTTCGTCTCTATCCCTTTAAGCATGGGCGAGGACAAGGGCCACATGATCTGACACCCGGGACTGCGGTACAGGAGCCTTTCAATGCAGAAGGCAAGATCCTGCTTCAAAAATCTATCACGGGGAGCAGAGGGCTGCACTGGCCTCCCAAAGCAGAAAGGGAAACAGCCTGGTCCGTGCTGCAGGAATGGAGGGGGGAGCAGCTGAATTAAAACTAACCCCACTAATGATGAGCTCACACCGTGTTCTTGGTCAGAAGCTGGCTCTGCTCCTGCCGCAGAGGAGATCTCCACCAGCCAGCAATTTGCTCTCCTCCAGCTGGAGTCAGTTCAAGAAAAACACAATTGAAAAGGTTTGAAAAGCTGAACCATGTCCCAGGAAGAGGCAAGTGCTCGCTCAGCGGCAGTTACACAAGCGCACGCACACCCGTTTGCTTCTGCAGCAGCTGCTCCCTGCAGCCGTCTGGCTGGTGGCAGCGCAGTTACCTACGTGACCTGTCTGTGGCCACCACCCTGCAGCGAGGGAGGCAAGAGAGGCTGCTTCTGCTTCACCCGCTTCTGCTTCACACTCCCTCAAGGGGAGGGTTCCTGGCACAACATCAGAGCCCAAACCTGCCTCCCAGGCCAAGGTGTGTCTGTCATGGGCAAGTCATACCGGTGTTCCTGCCGTAACTTCATGAAATAGGCTTCAAAAAACCAAACACGCCTCTATGCAACACATTATGATTTTGTGAAGTAAAACTTATCATTTTAACATAGCACACATTTATCGGGTTAGAAGGAAGGTGTTTCACTGCTAATTTCCCTTAGCTTGCGTGTTACCAAGTTCTCCACAACACACAGCTTTTGCACTGCATGACCAGCGTAACTCTGCAGCCTCTGGATGAACTCCTGTGAACTGACCTTCGGGACAAGCTGCTTTTAATACTCCTGACCCATCCCTTTTGCTCAGCCACCCTTCTAAGCAGGAAGCTACTTGTTTTACCTATCACAGGCATTTCGTAAGTTAAATTTTATGGATGTACAACTAAGGCCAGACTATGAATCTACGAAGTCTGCGCCTTACACACTGCATGACATCCCTCAAGTTACTTCACCTCTCACCTTGTTTCTGCTGGCAGGCTCTTCTGTGTTTCAGCAGCCACTAAAGCCAGCAACCAGAGGGGGAAGCAAAAAAAAAAAAAAAAAAAAAAAAAAAAAGAAAAAAAAAAAAAAATAAAAAAAAAGAGAGAGAGTAAAAAGGGCAAACAAGCACCACTGCAAAACTGCTCACACTGACTTCGCCGGACATGGGAGACCACCTCTGAAAGCACTGGATTCTACACAACAGGTAAAATTCAACTGGTGCTGCTCACAGAAGGGCTAACGAGAAAGGTCACTGGCAGCCCAAAAATCTTTGGGGCAAGTATTTCTGAAGGGTCGCTGAATACATGCCTATAAAAACCACCAGCACAGATAAGCGTCCATCGCACAACGCACTGCCACCACCAAAACCAGAGACAAGTTTCTCTGCCAGCTGATCCTCGGGGCATCCCACAGGTAGGGTGTGATGTAACATTCACTTCTGGTCCTGGAACATGATACACAAAACACACATTTCTTATTTACATTCACTTCTCAATTTTTATTCTATTTCTCGCATGGTCTTCAAATACAGTTTTACAGGTCGTTTTTTTCTGCTACGATACTGTTGATCTAAAAACAGATTAATGAAAGTGGCATTCCAACCTTAATGAAAATTCATAACCATGAAAGATATGTCAACATATCACTTTACAATCCTAGAATGATGGTATTGGCCTGACATTCCATAGGCTTATACAATTAACTTCTATAATAATAACAAAGTCATAGGAAGAGAAAATGTGGCAACTCCTTAAAAGCCAAGAAATAAGGCCACAAGCATCCTATGCTGTAACGTTACGCATCCAGATAAAATAAGTTGACTCTGGTATCCATGAAGAAACAAAACTCTCTCACCTGAAAAACCAAGGTATCAGCTACTCAACATGCACTCAAAGCTGTATAAAAACTAGTGGCATTCAGCTCTGACTTACATGAAATCCCATAGCACAACCCCGTACCGCTCCCTAAAAATGAAATGAACTTGTTTCAACTTAAATACTTCACTACCGCATTAGAAAATTGTTCACATTCTGCAAAGGAAAAAAAAAACCAAAAAAAACATCCTGCATGTGACTGCACCAGAAGGCCAAACACAGCATCTCCTTACAGGTCGCAGACAACATTACTGCAGTCTTAATGCCATCCATTACAGGTTGCCTAACTTCTATGCAGCTGGAGGCTTGTAAAAGGAACTGAATTTCCCTTGCACATCACTGAAAAAAACCCCAGGAAAAGTAAAAAGGAAGATAAAGACAGCTGATGGCAGCAGGTGAAAGAAGCAAGGTATTGCGAGGTGTTTACCATTGGCCAATTATGTGTCTGGGACACTGGGACTTCTGTGAAATACCAATTTCATAAATGATGCAACTACCTCACTACCAGATCCCATACCATGCTGATTCCATCCCATAGCCAAACACGTCAGACCTGGGTAAAAACATTAAACTCTTGGAACATTTAAAAGTAGATAACCATTTAAATAAAGTGTAAAAATGTGCTTATTGTGGCATTTCTTATAGAAAAGTTATTTGATACAAATGTGCAGGACTTGAAGACCCTGATTTAATCAAACTAGTACAGACAGGCTTTGAAACATGGTGACTGTTCCAAGGACAAGTCCCAGCTGTGGGCCAGCTCTCTCCCTCTCACCATCTTTCATCCACAGTCCTGTGCGAATGTTACCAAAATTAATGGGAAAAGACTGTGAATTGCTGTTTCAGTCCCAGGAGGATGATGATAACCTCAAGCAGTGACAGACTGCTGTTGGAAGGAAGGATCATTTGGGATCCGCTCCCCTTACCCAAGATGATCAGTTTCTTGCCCTGGATACGAGGCACAATAAGAAAGGCCGGTGCTGAGGACAGATTTGTTCTCCACTGTGGTTTTAGGTTATTCAAAAGTGCCATGTTGGACCTATACCATTTCACTTTTCAAAAGAAAGTTACAAAACCTGGTAAACAAAAAATTAGTCAGCATACAGCTAAGTTTATATACACTGAAATTTACAAGTTTGTCATTAAGTGACTTCTGCCACAGATCACTGCACGTTTGTCCCTAACAAAGCACAAAGCTTGAACCAATGGTCATTAGAAGTGACAACGGGTCACTGCTTTACCAACAAGCATAAAGATAGTAAAAAATAGAACTGTAGCTACTTATCTTTAAATTTGCTGATTGACACAAGCAATCCCTCCCATTTCTGCAACTTCCAGTTGCACATCCTGCTCTAGGACAGAGAAAGAAATCTGCATCTTTAGAGATACTTCTGCCAGAGACCACTTTTCTGTTGACACATGAATGCAGAGAACTGTCATCAACCACAGCACCGATTGAGAGGGATTCTTCTGAGAAACTATAGCCCATGCAAGATTCCTTGGCACTTCACACAGGACCAGGAGAGGACAAGGTTTCTCTTTGTTAAAACAGTGTTTTCAGCAGCATTATCCTCTTCCAACAAATTACAGTCTGAATGTGTGATGGGTGATTTTCGCATAGCCCTTTCTACCAAGCTGGCTTATTGCTGGCTTTGTGCAGCTAGACCATATGAAGATCCCCACCACTACCTGCCCAGCTGTTAAGGGACTACAGTACTGGAACAGTTTGCTGTCAAGCACTTCACAGGCTTCTTCCAAGGATAACAACATCCTTTGGAAATCCTTCCATTTTAGCAATTTCAAAACAACCCAGTTTGCTGTAAAATTCCAGGATTCTTTTATCATCTGGTCTCACTTCACAAAAAGCCCCACGGGAGCCTAAAGAAGAAAGAAAGAAACAAAACATTGTAGGAGCAGAGTTACTGTAAAAAGCACAGACATCAAATATTGCTAGAGTTCCCACCTATTTTAACATTTAAACACAATGAAGTCACTGATCGAATTCCATATGGAGCTAAGTGCCCAAAAGCCATCAGATTTATTGCCACATAGCTGACCATCCCCTAAAGTGGTTGCACATTGCAGATGTCTTCTCAGTCTGAACAAACCCTCTACACACCTTTTTTTTTCTCCACATAAAAGCACCCTGAAAGTCTGATGTCAGCTCAGAAAATAGCACTAGAAGAGAGCATTAAATTGTGCAAAGGAACTCTGAACCTCAGGCGCACTGTAAGGCAGACAGCCAAGTACTTCTTTTCATTGAAGGTGTTGGTAACTACTCACCAGTGCACATTGCCACACACAAGAAAAAGCATCATTATCAATGCCAGCAGGGGAAATATAAACATTTGTGCATTGTTCAAGATGTAAAAATGTGTGCTCTCATTGCTAAACTACTCCCTCAGGTCTTCCTGTTTTCTGATTTCCAGGATAATGGCTAAAGTGAGAAGCCACCTTTTACCACAGGCAGCAGCCAAAGTTTGCTATCCAAAGCTTTTATAACTATTTACCTAAATCTAGAGTGCCAACTATGACAAGAATCAAATACCTCAGGCTGACAGGCAAGTGTAGTATGTTACCATAACCATCTCAAGTTTGCCTTGCACCATAGTCAGGAAAAGAGGCATTTTGAGTGCAAGAAGCTTACCATTAGCCTTTAGAGAAGAGAGCAAGCAGGCCATCATGCTTTTGGCCACGCTCGGATCTGTCACTTTTTTGTGGATATCAATCTTTATCAATGATGGGAAGTTGGCAAGGAACGATTCTGGCAATACTTCTTGCTCTTCATGGAAGCTTAGCATTATTTTCTGAAAAGAATATGGGAAACAGACATCTAATCATTATCTAGCTTTCAATTTTCATTCACCTTTGTTAAGGGAGGATAATTGGCTCACAGAGTATACCTCCAAATCAGTATGCTTTCAACTACACCTCTGATGGCTACTTTGTCCCTTACCCACTGAATTGCTCTCTGTACTCCAGACAAAAAGGCAGGCTAGGCTACAGGAGATTCTCACACTTCAAGTGACCACACTTCAAGAGAGAAAAACCTTAAGCCAATCCATAACCAACAGTTTGTGTGCAGATATTCCTTTTCTTTACATTTTACAAGGACAGTTTTAGCTCTAAGTGTCCTAACCTTCCACATGTATTCTTTGGTCCACAGAAGCCTGGAAACATCTCTCAGGTCCATGCAATTATCTTAGACTACTTGCCCCAACAAAGACAGATTTGTCTTTAGCTTGAAACAAGCCTTGTTGATCACTGAATGATGTTGTTGATCACTAAAGACTACTGCAATCACCCAGGAAGGTCTTTGGGAATGTGACACCAGATGTTAACTTCATGCAATTCATGGGAAGAGATCAATACAGTGAGGTAATGAAGAAGCAGACAAAGCCAAACTGAAAATATACTCAAGTCATTTCCCCTGCTGGTTACTGAACTTTAGAACCTTTAGGGAGCACTGACTCAAGTAAACAAGACACCTAACTTCAATTCTTGTATAACTATTACAACAACCCAAACTAGGACTTCATCACACAAGGAACTTCTCCCCCATCCCCGGTCAAGTTTAAATGCAATCCCCTCAAATCTATAAACTGCCATCTCCCAGACTCTTGCAGGGAGTTTCTGTTCAAAGTTGCTACTTCAAACTGTTAAGCTTCTTCAGGTTCAGAATCACACCTGCTCCTCTGGACTTTCCTTTATTCAACTGTAACAAGTACTACAACCCCATAGAAAGTGTTCAAAGCTAGCCATGATGCCTTCAAGACTGCAGAACTAGCTACACTTCAATAGTGGCAGTGGAGCTATTAAGATACCTTCTAGTCACACCTACCCCAGAACACTAATATTTTCTGCAGGACTGCTGTATTGCCTTTTTTTCTTTTTTTAAATGTACTTAACTTTTCCCCCGTGCCTGTAAGTTGTGGCCATTTTCACAACAGGATGACAAACATTTTATTCAATTTCTAGGAAACTTCACTTGTGGGAAGGCCTGTGCTCTGAGAGCCACGCGCTCCTTTAACATTTTGCCTTAGTCCTAGTCACATACAGCAAGGGCACACTGCTATATATGACATTTTTGCCCTTACAGCTGGGGACTCCCTAGGAGCCCTGCCAGTCTGACACCAAGCTTTATATTCAGACACCTTGTTGGAGAATACTCTCTGTAAACCATTCTTTCCCTCTTGAGAGGGGAAGAAAAAGGCTAAGAAGTGGTGTTTCTGGGCCTGCCTCTACTACAGCTTTGGCCACACCTCTTTCCACATGCAGGTATGGATCAGCACCTCTTAGTATTAAACACATTTATCTCCTTGACAAGAACGCATGAGCTAGAATTTTTCATTATTTCTGACAGTTCAGTGACACAGTTTTTCTAATTTCTTCCACAAACAATTCAAGACACTGATTTTTAGCACTTGCCAAAGGTGAGATGTCATTTTGCACCATTTACAGCTGTCATACTCCATAAATAGCTCACAGATTTAAAAATCAAAACCAAGTGCTCTTTAATTTGTTTTCCATACTTAAACTGATGTGACTATCAGGGGTTAGCGTTACCTGCAGCATGGGGAAACTAGCAACTCGTTTTGCAGGAGAACAGAGCAGAAGCAATCCTTTTTTTCAAAACATAGTTTTCTCTAGATTAAGATGGCTTACATTTACTGCACTGATTACTACTAAGTACACCTCAGGGTGTATCACAGCACAGCTGTATCTGACTGGCAGTGAGTAATTTTACTGTCACCTTCTAAGATGTCAGATACCACACTCATCAAAGACTTCAGAAAGATCTGAAAACTGAATTACACATAAGCTTAAAATGCAAAATGTAAACAAGACCTGCTTTGGAAAGAGAGATCAACATAGAGCTCTGGTCTTGTGGGTTATACCAACCTCTGCCTCAGACAGTTCCTTGTCACTATTTGGTTTAGTATATTTTTCTTGCATGAAAGGGATCCAAGACATTTTGCATTTTTTAATGAAAGGAGTCACGTCAACTGTTCCCAAAGCATAGCCACATATGCCATCCTCATCTTCTAAGACGAAGCAGTAATCCAGGCTGAGGGTGAGCAGACCTCCTACTAACCTGCAGAAAGAAGTTTTCAAATTCAGTCAAAAGGTCACTTGCAAAAGTATGCTCTTCAGCTGGTCTGGAGGAGACTCTAGGGTCAACCAAAGAAGCAACAGAGTCCTCCAGTCACAGAATAAGTTCCTACAAAGCATTAACTGTCAAAGCTTATCAGCTGTCAAAACCCAGCTATGAGGAACATCTGCACCTCAGGATCTCTCAATTTAATTCCATACACACTGCTTTTCTGACTCAGAGAGACAAACTTCCTTCAACTTTTGCCCTCAGTTTCTCTGTTGCCATTACCTCCTTGTTCTTCCACCTTCTCTTTTGGGTATTTTTACACATCTTTTCTCAACTACCTTCCTGCCACTCACAGAGCAGCTGCTTTAAAAAGTTCTATCAAAATTAAACACTTGAGAAAAAAACAAAAATACTCAAAGTAGGTCATTTTACAGCTCAGATTTAATGCCCCCCCACACACCTTTTTTAAACTTCATCTCACTTATCATTCCTTATGTTTTTTAAAAGTTGGTACAGGTGATCAATAACGCGTATTTCAGAAAAAATTCAAGGCAATGGGCTAGGAGACTGGTCCTCAAAAAAATTTCAATTATCTGAAGAACTACAGTAGGTTGGAAAAAAAAATACCAGAAGGTAACTACAGGCTATGGACACTCTTATGATAGGCTTTCACAAAACATGAAATAATAGGCTACTATGATGCATAGGTTTCATAATACAGAGGTTTCAGCTGGGTCTTTTTTTTCCTAACAGCTCACAACAAGTGACCAGAGCATAAACTGAGACATAACTGTTAATGGTATCTTTAAGAAACTAAAACCCCAATTTCCGGAGGCCTGCAGAAGGCAGGTTTTTAAATTTTTATTTAATCAAATGCTCTCTGTATTCTTCCCATACACACTTTTAAGAATTCAAATTAAATACAGTGTCAGGACTTCATCCTTCAGAACCACCTCTGTAGGTCATTCATTGCTAATACGTACTTGTCTCCAATTAAATCTGGTAAGCTATGGAAGGGTTGATCAGCTCCATCAGCATACATTTCTCTGCAGATCTTATATACAGATGCCTAAGAGGAGAGAAAAGATGATTTCAAGTCATTAGTCACATTAAAAAGCTAACAACTTTGTTTTAGAGAGAGTTCATCAACAGCTCTACTGTAAACTAGTACTGACAGGCATTTAAGTTACACAGAAGAGCACCCATCCATGAGAAAGGATCCATCTCTCTCTCCTACCCAAAAGTAACTCTTAAAGTTGCCCATCAAAAACACTGTGGTTAAGTTGAATGGCTGGGAAAGAAAGCCTGGATGTCAACATCCTGCACATTGTAACAGCACAAGATTAACCCTGAGGGGTAAGTTACCCAACACTCAGTGAAGATCAACACCCTCGCTACAAAGTCCCTTTCCAAAACATCAAATTTCCAAGCGCAATAATTTAACCACTGTGAAGGTCAGACACACCCCGACTTTCTGCATGTTAAAAACTTTCAGCTGCATCTCCTTAAAGAGTAAAGGTGTATCAGTCACACTTTAAATAAGAAACTTTACACTTTTCAACAAAAAGGCTTTACATTTGATATGTCCCCAGCCTCCTTTCAGAAAAAGGAAACTCCTCAGCAGAAGAAATATTCTTTATGACTGGATGTTTAGCTGCATCACCAATTGTTTAGATGGCTTAGAAATATCAATTCCACTGCCTACAAAAGTACAAACCAGCTTAGGTACAGTCCTGCACTGAGGTATGGAAAAGGCTGCTTTACTGCTCATGAGAATGGCACAGGATAGAGCTGGCCTAAAATAGGAGGTAAGGACACGTCCTCATGTGCTAGCCCTGTCTGTCTGATTGGCTTCAAAGTCAGGGCTCATTTGAGCTGCCGCAAACTCAACCTAGATACTTATGTTTCAAAGGAAACATCTCATTGTAGATTCAAATGCAAAAGTTCAGGCCACATTAAACCTTACATTGTTTAAACTGCATCCATAAAGAGTGTTAACTGTTGGCTGATACATCAGTTTCAAGTATTCTTCTTCCTATGCTAATAGGAATGAAACTACACTTACAGACCTGTTCAGCAGAAAAAAACCTCCTAATCAATAATGATTAATGCAAAACTCCCACCTTCAAAGTATCAAACACTCCAAAGTAGATTTGACAACACTTATTACAAAATCAGACCAAAAAGTTTACAACTGTAACTAAAATAAAAATGGCTGAAGTATCATTACATTTTTCAGCTACATTTTGAGACACAATATCAACATTCTGCCTATACAGCTGAGAATACAGCAATTACCACAATAATTAACACACTCACCCCTGAGGTTAATGCATCGCATGTGTCCTCACTGCAGGAATTCCTCTACCACCCACAAACAACCTGCCCATCAGAAACAGGGAAGGCACTCACAGGTTTAAAAGGTGGTAGGGGTGGGACACTGGGAATCAAGATGTTTTGCCTATGGTTCAACATAGGCAAAACCACAGGCAAGCAACTCAACCTTAGTTTTCTTGTGAGCTTGCATTTGTGCCTTGTGCAAGATACCGGGACATCGTTTCATTAGGGAATGAAGGGACTTGGCAGTAACCAATGTTCCCCCAAAAGGAAATGCATCACTAACAACAACAGTGACAAGTGTCAAAAGCAGTTACCTCATCTTTAGGAAAGTAGGGTCGTATGGTGTACACTTTGGAAGTGGGTGTTAATGGAGGTGGTTGAAAAAAGAGGTCATTTGCCCCATCAATAGGCAGTAAACGCTGTGAAAACAAAATACTCAATATGACCGTATGCACAACAAAACCCATCACTCTTGGGTGTGCACTGCAGACTCCCAAATTAACATTTGCTACTTGCAGGCACCCCAGAAGAAGGTGGGGTTGGTATGCTTTACAAATGCAAAGACCTTATTTGAATAGAAAATATCCAATTGGTGTTTTAAAATATGCAGTTGAAACAGCACATTAAGAGTCTGTTAATCTTATCTGCTTTAAAATACTTTTTACCAATCGTATCTACACTGTCTCTGTACAAGAACATAGAATGTCAGGAGGAAAGGTTTGGTCTGAAGAGGGTTAACTGGCCAGAGGAGACGCTTTATCCCAAAAGCAATGCGCTGATTCAATTTGCTGCGCGCAGAGCACCTGTGAGGGGGGAAAAGTATAGCGCCTGAAAAATCCATGAACAAATCTGAACGCGGCACAAACAGAGATTTAAGAGTATTTGCCAATTGAAATCTTTGCAACAAAGCACGTTACAGTTTTATTTAGAGAGGAACCAAAATTTGGATGACTATCCCTTTTGCTCATGGAATTCCCATCGGCAGACAAGCATGCGCGCATTGTGCAATTGCGGGCGCAGATAAAAATGCTGTGCGACCTGCAAAGAAACAATGTGAAATGTACAACTAAAGCCGCTGCGCTTCGCATGCGCGTGGGACAGGCAGCATCTCCTTGAGAAATTACTGTAGAAAGGGGAGGAAAATTATTTTAAACCAAGCTGTAAGGCTAATGGGCTTTGGACCAGAAAGCCTTCGGCAGACCAATCCTTCCAGACCTCTGATGTGCAACAAAAGGTTTCTTATAAAACAAAGAAAATGTCATTCAGTTGTGAAGTCATATTGATACCTGGAACTCTCCTGCTAGACCACCTCTAAAGGCCCAGGGTTCTTGGTCTCCACTTAAGAACTGTGCTGAAGATTGACTACGACACCCTGTTGAGATCAGATCCAAGCGGAGAACGTTACGAGAAGGGGGATTTCCTGGGTGTCTAACATGTCCAAAAAGCTAATACACACTTGTGGAAAAAACTCTCTAACTGACCTAGAATCCAGGGCTCGGGGGGAGGCTGTAATAATGTATGATTTATAAAGATTTTGTGCTTGCACACTAATTGCAGTATTCCAAGTTTTTCATTACCTGTAACAGACTAGTCTACAGGTGAGGCGATTCAGCTAACACACCTCATTAGAGACCAGGAGGCACAAGGACGCTGCCACACACAATTACGTCAGCTTCCCAGACATTTTGTACATCTTTTTTTTTTTGTATATTTGTGGCAGAAACATCCATTTCATCTTCAAAAAGATGACATCTTGGAAGCTACTGTGGCTCAATAGCTACTATTGTAAATTTCAGATCAAACACCATTATCACAGCCCCTTGGAAAAAGATGGACCTTTCTGAAGTCACATTTTAGTAATGATTGTTTCTAATCTTGTCAGAAAACTAGGACTGGTGATATATGCAAACGGTCTGGAACAGTTCAGGCAGCCAGGACAGTTGTATGAAACAGTATTCTTGCAAGAGACTATGCAGATTTACATAATCCAGGCCATACCTTCACAATGCTGCTGGCATGTTAAAAAGCTAAGCAGTGTTATCTGGAGTTAACTCACAATTTAACTAGTATAACCTGCTGGCCACAGATAATACTAGCTTTGCTCTTTATCATCTTCATATTTTTCCTCCTCAAGCTTCTTAGATGCACCAGGGTCCCTGCTGATCAACCAGCCACAGCAGGCCCACTGAACTGCTCAGCTTTAGTTTACACTTGCAAAATTCCATTAGCTCTCCAAGTTTTAATACTGTTCTGCCAGCAAGGCAGTACAGCCTTCAACAACTAACTTAAATTACATCTCGAGAGAGAGAAGAGAAGAAAAAAAAAAGCAGCACGGTATCTGGAGGGGAGATATCAATTACCTGCCTAGTTTTCTGACAAGATGAGCAGCGCAAATACTCTTTTTCCTTTTGTGGACAGCAATCTACCTCCTGTTCAAGTAACAGTCTCAGATCAGTACAGACAAGTATGTTGTGCTAGTCAGAGAGTCCCAAAGCGTGCCAAGTTTCACATTTATAAGTGTTTAGCAATATATGGTAAATACAAACTGTCCTGAGTACGGTAAATTTCAGAAACAATCCAAGCATCAGAATTTGAATTGAATTCTCCCATATTTGAGAATTCTCACATAAAAAGATACCCTTCACAAGGAGGTTTAGTCAATAACTTGGAAGACAGTATCTGTCTGTCCTTTGAGACTACAACTTAACTAGCACTTCCAATTATTACAGTAAAGAGCTGTATGAATGAAGAGCTGTATAAATGAAAAACATAGTTAATGCCTCAGTCGCTGCGCAAATGTGACTTCAGTTCATGCCTATTGCACATCTAATCTATCTGAGTTGCCTCACAGACAAAACCTTTCCATTTTAATTAATTAATGACGACGCGCTGTGAACATCTGGCGCTGTCCATCCAATAGCAGTAGAAACTTGTGCTGAGGATTCTCCCATCTGTACACAATGGGGAAGAAGACAATAGAAGTCATTAGTAATCCATAGTACTGTACAGCCACACTAATTTAAGGGACTGAATGCTAGCTGGACTTCGGAGCAGAGGTGAAGAAAGTGAATGTTCAGTGGACCACTGAGCACACCATTGTGAAAACTAATTTGTTTGGATTTGTAACGTACTTAGCTTTATATAATGATATATGTTATCAGAGACCTTTGCTCTATATATATTTACATGAGTGGTAAAATGCAAGCTTCCTCTCTCACAAAAGCACTGTTAGCATAAAAGTATTAAACTGTCGAAAACTCTTAAAATTAATTTTTTAACTACCTAATACCAGTTTGAGTACTAGAACAGAACAGTGCCAAAGTTAACAGAGCTAGTATTTACAGAGTTGGCTTCTAATGTGAACTATTCCAGATGTTTGATGCATTTAAAGACTTGAACCCAATCTTACAGGGACATTGAAAACTGAAGACAATTTCAGCTGAAATCAGTAGGTAGTCCAATAATTCTGAAATGCAGTCTTAAATTGGGCCCTCAATGCTCAGAGATTACAAGAATCACTGTTCTCTTTAGAGACCTTTGGACTGAAGTTTTAAACAGATTTAAGTTATCAATAAGGGAGAATTCTTTCTAGCTAAAGGTCAACATACAGCAAGAACAGTAAAGTTGGGGGAGTTGTTCACACTGGTCTTGAAAATGCATGAACTAAACCTTTAAACAGCATTAGACAGAGATGTTAACATACTACAGTGCTGCCAAGTTTTCCTCCCAAGCTAGTTTTCTTCTCTGTACTTTCCAGAAGGCAGTCTTAAAAGCTCTTCTTCATCAGTCATTCATGTAGGGATCAGATATTTATTAAGCAAAAAACACAGGAAGCTGTTGAGCACAGACTGACTTGTTGACTTATCAGGTCTTCTCTGTCTCTGCTTAAATATGCCAGTGTTTAAGAGTATCATTTAAAGACAATCCAAACACCAGGACTAGACCAAGGCTGTGTAATGGTTAGCCACTGTGAGATTTGTGACAGCTACAAAAAGTGTGACGTGAGACCATCAGCTTTGCTGCCTGCTGTGTATGTCAAGCAAGTCTACAGCATATTCCTTACAGCTGGATTGAAACCTGAAAGTGAAATGAGGTCACTAGAATTACCCAGGCCATGCTGGTGCTATCTGCCAACTTAGGATCCCCCAAAAATCTTTCATGAAAAAAAAAAAACAAAAACAAAAACCAAAAACTCACACATTAAAAAGAAAAAAAAAAAACAAAAAACAACAAACCAACCGTTTCAAGATCCGTTTAAGTCTCAGACTAAATCTGTCCAAGAGAGCTCCACAATTTCCACCCATTACAAAAAAAAAAAAAGGAGAATAATTTAAAAAATATTTTTAAAAAAATCAACAATTTGGAAAGTGTTTAAAGGAAATTCTTGTGCACCAGAATAGCCTTATGCTAAAGCTCGCATGCGCACAGGGCTGGGAGGATCGCCTTCCTCTTGGCCAGGCCCACTGAAAGGTCACTTCTGCAATTGTTCTGTTGAAGACAGCAATAATGTTATCAAGACAGAGCAAGCAGCAGATGGCTGATGTGGTCACATTTCGTAGTGTCATTTCCAATCGTACACCAGGGTATCCAAGGAGTTACATGGCATAGTCCAGTGTGCATTCAGTCAAGAGTAAGTTAAAGTCAACACTTACGTGTCAGCTGAGATTGAAGTTTCATTAGCCCAAGAAGAAAATCAAGGTCTCCAATCTTAAGCATCCAGCAGACTTCACTTACAATACCAAAGCAAATTCACAGCAAGCACTGCTCCAAATAGCGAGACAGGAAAACCTTTACAACAGGGTCAAATCAGACCCCATTTCCAAGAAAACACATTTGCCTTATACTTTGTTTTCCCCGTGGGCTAATTAAAAATAAAAATACACTTATCTGGGATTATAATGGCTCCCAATGCACCTACCTAACCATTGCACAAAAGATTTCACCATTGACATAATACTCTTGATATCCCAGACGTAGGAGTACATGTCATAAAGGATTGTCCTGTTGGCACAGTTGGAGAGGCGAGTGAACATCCCCATCACCAAGCTGCACATCTCTTCAAACTTGGCTGCTCGGTTACGCCATTCTTCTATCTACAAATGGAGGAAAAAGATCCACAGGATCAAACACAACCTTCTAGAGAGGAGAGGTACTCTAAATAGGGAGGAACACTATACAGCTCATTACTTCATTTTACCAGTATGGACTACCACACCACACATGACTCACAGGTATTCTCTATGGTTGTGTAGGAGCGAGGCCAGTACCAGGATCACTGGTTAACTGCAGACACCAGACTGCCTTCATAGCTACATGGCACTACAGAGCTTAAAACAGTAGATTCCACTGGAGGAATGAAAGTTACTGTGACCTGCAGTTAATTATGCACTACCCTTCAGCTTTTAGGACGTGGAACACCAATCACTATTATAGGCAACAGATAACATTGCTCAGGATTTTAATTTAAAAGGAGACAAACAAGATTCACACTCACTTTTTCAGCATCCTTTCCTTTGCAATTAACACTGACAACACTGCTATTTGCTCTGAGCCACTGGAATTCTCTCAGCATCTGTGCACCTTTGGGCCCATGTTCATAAGGAAGGTAAAACAAGTCAGCGAGAAGCTGCAAGTCCTCTAAAGTCACTGGCTCTACTGTGTAGAGAGGCTTTTCATTTGGACCAGGAACAAAATGTTCTTTGTTAATTTGCTCATCAGTCTGCATAGGGGCAATGTCACTACCAGAGTCTTCCTGCATAGACATCTCTGGGGACTTTGATTCAGCTATGCTCTCCTTATCGGTATCCATTGGCTTCAACTCCTCTGCCATCTTGGCTTCAGCAATATCTGTCAGTATCTGATTAGCATTCTTGTCTGCATCATCTTGTTTTTCCACCACCATGTCCATTGGTTCCTCATCAGATTGCTTCTTCTCTTCCTCCTTTACCAAGGCCGGTGACTCACTGCTCAGCGCTGTCCCCTGACTCATGATGGGTTCCTGGTAAACTGTGGTAACCACAGTTGCTGCATTTAAAGAGGATGATGCCACCAGAGGCCCTACATCCCCTACAGTAGTTTTAGCACCACTGTGGGCCACTTGCCTACCTGAGAACAAGAAGAAAAAGTTTAGAGTTTTCAGTATCTGCCAACTAATATTCAAATTGGCAACGTCTGCAAATCTGATTCTATTGCCACAGCATTGGATCAGCACAGCTTCCTTTTGGTACTTTGTCTGTTCACTTCTATCACTGTAATTCTAATTACAGACTGTCTTTCACAAGTATCCCCTCCACATAACTAATAAGCGCAGATAGGATAGGGAAAAAGTTAAAAAATTAGTTAATATTTATGTGCTGCCATGAGCATTTCTGACTACGCCATCAGAATAAAAAGCTCTCAAAGTAAAGTTAACTTTTTTCCCTCTGCATCACCTGACTTACTTTTATTTGGGTATAGAGCCCACTTCAAAATAAAAGGACTGATGCTTAAATATTTCAACTGCAAAAATGTCTTTAACCTAGGGAAAATTGAGATATTAAAAACCTGACTGGACACCATCTTGGGCAATCTGCTCGAGCAAGGTGGTTAGACTAGAACATCTCAAGAGGTCCCTTCCAACCTAAACCATTCTGTGAAAATGGAGGAAGATGACACTTTAATTACTACTCCTTACCCAGTGTTTTTGCTGCACCTGAGTTTTACAAAGATTTGAAACCCTACAGCAGTTCAAAAGGGTAAGTGCACCAGAGCAGAGTTGGGAGGAGAAGAGACTCTTCCATTCCTCCACCAGTTATCACAGAAGGGCACTGTGACCACCTCAAACCCACATTTGAGAAAAAGATTTCAGCTCAGATTCCAAGCTCCCACTGCTACAAGAAAGGTGTACAACGCTGGAAGGAACCCAGCTGGTTTCTGTAGACAGAAACTCAGAAAAATAAAGCCATCTTGAAATAAATGGAAGAACTTGGACTCTTCTGGGTTAGAAATAATGCTCACAATAGCCTAACACCCACTTCAGAAAAAGACTGTTTTTCTATTCTCTTAGGTCCAGTGGAAGTCTAGTAACAACTGGGACTAGCAAGATCCAGACTCTTTCCTGTCCTGTATCAGGAGTGCCAAAGGATCATAGGTCGGGGCACTACAGGCACACTGCAGAATGCCAAGCATTCTTCTTTCTTTATTAAGGTTTCCCCAATTAGTAAGGCAGAAAATACTTCCAACTGAAAAGTATACAAATTGCCAGGATCTGTACAACAGCTTTAATCTAAAGGCAAGTACTGAATATTTAACCTCATTTTTCTACCAAGCCCACCCAGAACAATATCAAACCAGACTCACTGCTGTATTGCTGAGGTACCCCAAATTCCTGCAACCATTCTGTTAAGGCCAGCTTCAGGGCCATTTGTGGGCTGTAGAGAACATCCGTTTCAATATCTTCATCACTCCCCTCATTTTCCAATTTAATCTGGATAGAAACTGTACTGTCTTCAGTATCAGCTACAGAGAAAAGTTTTCAAAAGTTACCATGCTAGTATCATTCAAAATTAAAAAAAAGTCACGTTAGACAAGGCATTTAAGAACTCTCTAACAGCCTTATTTCTCCAAGAAGGACAAAGCCCTACATCCTAACTAGATACAATGGAAAACTATGGTCACCATCAATGTCAACACAGAAACAGTATGCAGAAACTAGATATTCTGGCACTCAGAGTTTCTCTTTTGATCTGATCCACTTCTATTCCAATAAAATCAAATGCATGGACACTTATGTTAAATTTGGGCACTAAAAGTGCTGCTGAGAGTGCTTTTTACACAACCACCAGCACATCTTAAGACTTAAGAAATCCTCTGATAGCATGTGCTACAGGTACTTCCCAGGAAGTCAATAAAACAATCTAGATGCTCATTATCTTTCAGGCAACTGCCATTTACTTATAGGACAGAAAATGCTAGGTGATCTAAGAAAGAAAAATTTGGTAAGGAAAGGTTAGTAGCATCATCAAAAAAACCCCAAAACCTCAGTATGATTCATATGCATAGATTCTGACAAACAGTTACGCATACTTACTCATCACCACATCTTTCCTCACTCCATTCATGTTAGACTTGTACCAAGTTGCAAGTGTGTGAATAGCAACATAATTGGCTTCAAATTCGCAGTTTGGATTGGTCAGAACTCCCTTTAGTCGAGGGATGAGCTCAGTTGACCGACCTTTGTAAGGCCCAAGAAAAAGTCTCTTTTGATCATAATCATTAGCATGAATGTTATCCCAGATAACCGGTGCTCTCCTGATGATCTTGGAAACTTCTTCAATGGACTCTACTGGAATGTCTTTGGATACAACTTTTGGACCTAAGAGGGAAACAGGATAATGAAAGAGCTTTGCAAATATTTGAAGATTCAACCCCTAAGTAGCTGGACAGTTTATTTTACTAAATACTTATGAGAAATAATTTTTAACACCAACAGGGAATTTAAAAAAAAAAACAAAAACAACACCACCACCACAAACAAACAAGCAAAAAAACCCACATCAAAAAACCAAACCAACACACCAAACAATTTTTACCTGTCCATAACACCTCAATGCCAGGGAGCAGCTTTTCTCCTACAGTCCGTAAATAGGGTGACTGGGCAACATTTGGATAACAGAAAGTTCCACAGTACTCTGTACAGGAAAAGCAAATGTCACCGTTAGTAGAATGATACACACGTGTGACAACATACCCAACTCTCCCACAAACACACTGAGAGAATACTACACTCAAATATTTTTCTACTATATTTTATTACATTTTTATATTTTATACTATACTCAAATGAATGATACTTAGCATAAAGGGCAGAAAGGAGAGGTAGAGAATTTATACAAAATTGCCTAAATATCAAAATTAAGAATAAAATAATAAAGTCCATAAATAGAAGGGCAAGTTACAGCAGACAACACACAGGAGAACTAGAAACTTTAAGACTGATTATTAAGTGCAAATACCTAAAAATATTAACACTAGAACATGTGTTTCTCTAAATTTAAAGAGGAGGTCTGCAACAGAACCAAACTACTACAGTGTAAGGGGATAAACAAATTAACAGTGATGACAACATTGCCACTGAATTGAATTTTTCTTGCAACAATCCACACCACTGAACACAGTGATTCTCTCTTTCTTATAATATTCTTACAGGTATGAGATGAAGCCTGCCATTTTAAAAAGCAATGACTGGACTCAAATGCAATTTTTTTAATAAATAAAGCAACTCACTGACTAGTAGAAGTGGGTAAGCTGCCTTCTTTGCTTTGCAGTAAGCCTGTCAGAGATGTGTATATTTGGCAAAACCTTTGCATATATATTTGAGTTACCTGAACCTTTCTTTCTAAGTCAGTTTCTTCAAACAACCCCAAAATACACCTTAAAGCAGTGATTAGATATTAAGCCAGTGTTTCAACCTGTAAGGTAACAGGCCGCCTCCTTTTTAAGGCTGAACTAAATGATTCAACTCATTTTACCTGTAGGACAGAAAAGGAATGTGTCTGGTTCTCCTAGATATTGATAAATTTCATTTGTGATCGAGACCTGAGCATGAGCAAAGGAACTGAAAACTTCTTTGTCTGCTGCACACATATTGTGATCGATATCATCAAACAGCAGTGCAAAAGATCTGCAGCCAAACTGGGAAACCTAATACAAGAGACAAGAGAAAAAGGTTTAACTTCTACTTATTTATTTATTATCAAACCGTAGAACTTTTGTAAGGAAAAGCTAAAAGAATGGGGGAGAAGGTAAGGGAGGCAAGACAGACTTTGGTATCTATTCACAATGAATGGCTATCCCTGACCTATTCCTCTGCTTCTCTCAAAGATTAGACCTCTAAAGACACGCAAACCTGTCCAGCCTGAATAATCCAAAGCTGATCTCACTGAGCAGACAGCTGGAAAAAAGCTAACTCTGTAACAGCTTTTGGAGAGGAGAGGAGTCAATTCGAAGAATAAAAAAAGGTATCTGTCAGGTCTGCCTCCGAAGGTGTTTACTGTGGATAAGAGTTCTTGCTTTAGAAACACATCTTCGCTTCAAGGTCCTAAAATACTCTGAAGACAAGCTCCCAAAAGTAGCCTTCAGAATGCAATCAATACAAGGTAATTTAAATAAGGTTATTTAAATCTGGCCACTTCTGCAATACAACCTGAACACACCCACTGGAATTGCTCAGAGGCATCCAAACTAATGTTAGTGTTGAAAACATTAAAGAAGCGAGTGAAAAGCTGCAAGAGTGAGCAGGGTACTGAAGATTTCAAATTAAGAAGCACTGCAACTGTGGTAAGTTCTTCACACTTACCTGGTCCAGCTTGCGTTTCAACGTGGATACCTCTTTAGGATTGGAGAAAGTGATGTCAAGTCCAGGTGAAATTGCATAGATGAACTCTATTTCATGTTCTCGTGCAGCTGATATTAGAGTCATTAGCTGTTCTGGAAATCAAATATTTCAGAAGAATTCAACAATTAAAAAAAAAAGAATCTCAGACATCATTATAAGTAAATTATAAAATGCAAATGCTTCTGCTACCATAATTAAAAAAAAAAAGAAGCTGGAATTTCTTAAAATTAACACAGCAAAGAGAACCAAATTATTTGGAAGAGTTCTCAGAAATTATGCCAAAAGGAATATAACTATCCTTGTACTTTTATTTTCCATATTAGAATTTTTAAGACTTTAAAAATTCTCTTTATCTCAGTGTTGTGAGACAAATGTGGATGTAGTCTGTTTTACAGTATGCACACCAACAGTTCTAGAATTATTACTCATTTTTTCCACTTTTGTCACATATACTAAGAGACAATTCAGTGTAGTAATATCATCCTGCATGACAGTGATTTAAATATTATTCATATGACTGAAGCTCAAGGGACATGAAAAAGGGCTTTTTTAACACCTGCGCAGAAGCAGTTGCTTTAAGAAAGAAACTTCAAATTTAATCTTCCATACAATTAATAGAGAATTATTTTTAGAATATTTAACAATCTTTGTTGTTATTGGCAATTATCTTCCAGTATCCTTTAGATTCTATTTCTGCAGTGATTCAAAGTGGCCCCCAAGAATAATTATTTAATTTCAAGCAAGTATCATTTTTCCCCTCACCCAAGGAAAATTATAATCCCCACAGGCTAATAAAACACTGCAGATCCCATAAATGCCAGAAGTCGATAAAAAGCCTTACACAAGCTTCAACAGGTCTTTAATGTTCTGACTAAATAGTCAGAAGCTGCTTTTCTAACTGGTACTCTCTTTGTTGAGACAAGCACTTAATGAATCACATAAAAGGGCATGCTATTTTCTCATCAATCTTTTTTCTTTTCTGAAGCAAATAATTTCTACTTCAAAATATGGCTCAGATGTTCAAGAGCCAGAAGAATAATCTTGAGCAACCTTTCCCTGGAAAAAATCTTTTTAAGGCAAAGCCTAAAAAGCAGTTTTAGAAATCATCTGTAGAGTTACAGTTAAAATAAGTTAATCCCTGCTTGTACCAAAGCTCCACTAAATACATCTACAGGGTATTAAGAACAGGTTTCTACTCACCTTTGGAAATGGCTACTGTGATTAAACACACACAAACATATGTAGCAATGACCAATTCATTCAAAAGTCTATTTATAGAAGACACAGAAGGGAAATAAAGGCAATTACCTGCTTCCTCCACAGAGTACATTTCTCGCCAGAACATCCTGTGCTTGTAGTCATCCTTTGGAGCATAGAGGTACGTATTTAGTCCCCACTTCTGAAGTCTATAAACATAGGAAAAAAGTCTTCATTGGAAGGAGAGTCTACAAATTCAGGAATTCTGCATCTTACTTGATCTACTTCTAATTCTTTTACTTGATCTCATTTATTTTTTTCTTCATCGAACACTGTGTTATACAATTAAGTCACAACAACTTTAAGTACAATTGATATGGGACAAATTCAATTTATGCAAGATGGAAAGGTGCATATGAGCCCCCAAGAATTAGGGGAGATATTAGGCAAAAAGCACCTCTCGGTTAGAACAATAATTCTTTTCAAGCTTAAGTGGAAGATTATGATTATATTGCGATGGAATGTGCTGCAGTGAGGAGGAAGCATGACTTGCCTTCTAAAAAGTTCTTTCCTCTGCTCCATAACCCAAGGTCTTCCATAAAATCCTGGGGGAAACAAGATTAAAATTATCCAGTTAGATGATTCCTGCGCCATGAAACATTATATTACAATCCACCATTTCCTTCCTCTTCTGCTACATTCATCAAAAAGCTTCCCAAACCAGAAAGGGAAAAAAAAAAATCTAGTTAGACAGCATTAGGAAAGTGTAATAACCTAAACTGATCTAAATTTAAAATGCAATTATAACTTATTTCATTTCTTATGATGTAAGGTCTTATAAATTTGGCCACTGAAGCAATTAATTTTCACAATGCAAAATGTATCCCTGACCATATGCCCTTGACAAGTCAAGTCAGCATTATTATAAGAGCAGACTGAACAGTCATAACCTAATTAAACTATCATTCCAGACACCTACAAAATAGATTTGCTTGTAATGTGAACACTGAAGACACTTGAAAATATTTACTAGCTCAAAAATGCTTAACCAGTCATACAGATTAGAATCCTAAATACACACAGACAGTATATAAATACATCCTGAGATAAATGGTGGGCAATTAAAAAAAAGTGCAAGTGAGTCAACAAAATGCTTTGGATTTCATTCCTCTTACTCAGTTTAATAGGCTCCCTGTCAAAATTAACTTGCAAGTTGATATCTTACAATTCCCACACCCTTACAAACTAAGACTATGTATTTGAATAATCATATAAAAGCATCTACACAAATGATTTTAGAATAGTGTCTATTCAAAGGCATGGAATTTCATGGAAATTGTAACTGCTTCTTGGTTTTAAATCTAATCCTTCCATTCTGGAAACATAATACTTTAAAAAGCGCTCTCAGTCCACTCTTAGTCAAATAAATTCACTTAGACCTATGTGCAAACAGTTCAACCACAAGCGGGCACTTCAAAACAAAGCTTCAGCTTGGCAGTCTGTGCAAAGACCAGAGACTAAAATAACACTGAAATGTAATAAGCTCTTATTTTCAAACAGCACGGCCACTCAGTGATGAATGATGCTCCTAATACACAAAGCTCACAAGTCCCCACAGAACTCCAGTTCAAAAGGTAGACAATATCTTCATTTCCACAGCTATTCACCATTGTAAATCTGCAAATATTTGGTCCCACCGAGGTCAAAAACACCCTCCTATGACCTTTCAAAACTCAAAACTGATGCAACTGAAGCATTTTCCATATCTTAACAAGTATTTCGGTTACCTGTTAAGTGAACACTGCTCTGTAAGAGGCTTAAAGCAGGCTGAAGTTTTAAGTATCAGCCTCTCAAAGAGTGATCTTAGACTAGCTGGCACCACGAAGTGGCAAAGCTGAGTAACTACTACTCCTCCCAAACCGCAAAGTGACAAATTGAGGACAGTTAAACAGAGGGGAAAAAAAACAAAGAGAGGAGTTGCAAGGCATGAAAACCTCGTAGTTTATTTCACCCAGAACAAATTTCTCATTTTCACTGCCATTACCTTAATTCTGACTGATGCTGTCCTGAGGAAGCTCAACGACCCACGAAAGGAATTAATTACTGTGATACCTAATGAATACCACCTATGTCTCGTAACTTGCTCAGAACACTTTTGCTTTATCTGATACTACTAGCCTAAAGCAGAGCAGGGCCTTCTATAAAAACCCCATGAAAATCAGATAACAAAGTCTAATTAAATAAGACTGAAGAGAACACACTAATCCAAAGTGATACTTTTCCATCTGTCACCACATTTCTTAGATTATTAATGTCACCAGCTGATGACAATTCTTGGATCTTTCTGTCCAACTACAAACTGACCTGGTTTTGCATTGCTCCCTCAAGAGTGTGTCTCAGGTTAACACAAAGTCAAGAGATCACGCCAAATACCTCATCCCAGTTACCACACTCTCCATCACTAAAAGCCAGGACATCCTGGAGACAGAGCACCAGAGCTTTGCATCCAGTACTCTCTTAGATGTTAATACTTCTCAAAACAGTGAATTGGTATGTTGTAAGCTTATCACGTTCTTAGAGTGTACACCTAGTATTTTCACCCAGCATTTGGCCAATTTCCCCTCTACCTTTTCTACAAAAGGCCCAAACTCTCCATCTCATTGCTGTAATCTCACCAGACCTCCAGCCTGTGCTAACGGCTGCGCTATGCTTAAGTATTTCTTGACACTGCTCAAATTAATCCGTTTTTCCTCCTTCCCCAGTAACTCTGAAGTCACTAAGGAGACAGATGTTTTCACCCACTACCATTTACCTCATTCACCTGTTTTTCCTCCTTCCCCTGTAATTCACTAGTAATTCCCCTGAAGTCACTAAGGAGAGAGTTGTTTTCACCCACTACCATTTACCTCATTCACCACAACAGGGTTTTTTGTTTGGTTTGGTTTTTTTAACACTCCCATATTCCTTTTTTTCCTGTACACATATTAACGTTTAGACTGGAAACTCCTAACTAGTGTGAGGCTGCTTTTTTGGGCAGAGGCCATTTTCTTGCTTTGTTTTATGTGCGGTACAGTCAAGAACACCTGCACCAAAATACATGCAGAGGAGATCAACAACGTAACCAAGATGACAAGAAAAACAAATATGGTATCCAGAGTGGTTCCGATATAAACTTGAACAGGTGATCCATGGTCCAGGTGTATTGGCAGAAAAATGAGAAAACATCCCGTTACAATCTGTATTTCTGTTCACTGTTATCTGTCTCCAAAGCCTTCAATTTAGCATTTATCTTCACAGAATTGTCTATTAATTAAAACAAACTAAATTAACTAAAACAAAACAAAGATATCCTTCTCTATGCTGACTATATTTAAGCCCTAGTAAGTGCTAAAAAATAAGGGCATTAACTGGGCCTTGTGCACGTCACACAGTGACATTTGCAGGAGCCAAATGGTCTTTTCTTTTCAAGATATGAGCAAAAAGCATTCTGCAAGCAATGCAGATACTGACTTTGATAAACTGCCTGTTTCGCTCTCCATTCCATCTGTTAATCATCTTGTTCTCCCACTGGAGATTCATTACAGGTACAGAAATAACAGCAGTCCACAAGAATTCAGAACAATTCCAAATCAACTATCATGTTGGGGGAAAAAAAAAAACCAAACATTTTTCTTGCTGGCTTTCAACCATCTACCTTAACTGACCTGTCAGAAAAGCAGATAAAATTCTGTTATTACTGAGAAATGTAAAAAGAATCCCTTTATCCTGCAGCTTCTGCAACAATCTAAACCTTTTAATGCTGCAACTACGCTGAAAGACAGAAGAGGACTGTCCTACAGCACAATTAAAATGGTATGCTACATTTAATATTAATTCCAGAATATTAATTAATGGGGAGCATTTAATATTAATTCCAGAACAGGTATCTATGGAATCTGCTATTCCCTACCCAGCAAACTGAATCTGAGCCTCTGGTGCGCAGGAAGAGCACGTACAGCTGGGATAATCGCACGGCAGCTCTGCTCTCTCT